GATAGATAGATAGATAGATAGATAGATAGATAGATAGATAGATAGATAGATAGATAGATAGATAGATAGATAGATAGATAGATAGATAGATGGATAGTGTATTAAGTCTACTTTACCTCTCAAAATTGATAGATGCGATTGTCAAGGCTGAACATAATTGTGAATGGAATTCCATGACAAACATAGCATAGCACGGACCCTCAATCGAAATAGTCGTATCATCCAATGGTGACAAAATCTTGAGAAAACTACTGTATATAGCATATGGCCAATGCGTTAGACAAACTAAAAGATCGGCTACAACAAGATTTACTAACAGAACGACGGGTGCACCTCGTAAATGTCTACATCGACGAATCAAAAAAATTACAGCGACATTTCCAGTGCATCCAATTATAAATATAACAATCTGGATACAAATAAACAGATATATCAGCCATATAGTTTGAAAATAGTTGGGGAAACCGAGGAAACAGAGATACTTCATCGCTTTTAGCAGCTATCCTGGATGTTGTACCTGTATATTTTCTTAAATTTAACTTGAGTTTATTCCTTCACACGTCACAACGAAAATACGCCTAATGAATTAAACAACACGGGAAAAAATATAATTAAGTATACTGCCGTGATTCGGAAAAACGCAATATATCCATTTTTTAGAATTTTGAGATTTTTGGCTTAGTGGCATCCTATGGATGTAATCTATCATGTGAATTGATCATATACCCTAAAAATGTTTATAAATATGAAATTAATATGAGAATTACGCATTATATATATATTTTATATATATATATATATATATATATATTATATATATATTATTAATGATGCATATTTAATTAGTTCCCTTGCTGGTGGAAGGGCATAATAAGGCAAAATACCAAGTTTGTTTTTGATTAGAGTACAATTAATAAACGAAGAATGTATTGTTCTTCATCTTTTAAAGAATAAGTTGCAATATGCCCATGACCAAATTGTGGCCATAATATAAAATTTAGTCTGTAATATAAATATTTATTATTGTAACTAAGACCATTCAAAAAACAAAATAAAATACATACATATCAAACTTAAAAATGTTTTACTTAGACTTTCCAATTAAGCCAATGCTTGGAATTTAGATACAATACCTATGCTAAATTTACATTTAAAATATTTAGCTATATTAAAATGAGTACACTTCCTTATAATTTAAGGAAACAAAAATGTATAAATGGGCCTGAAAAAGTGTGTTTAGTTAGAAGTTGTTATTTATTTTTTTTATTTATTAAATTGAAAGGGGGTATTCTTCATAGTGAATTTAAATAAACTGATTATTTATGATGTAAAAAACAGTGTTGTTGCTTGTTTTTTCTGTACCGTAGTGGTTAACGATAGTATATAATTAAAATTTTACATGTACCATACCAAATTTTAGGGGAAATACAACATTTAATAAATCAGATCAGACACATTTTGTAAATATGAGAGTGAATGCGATAATGTTGCTAAATAATATAAACAAAAACTCTTAAAAACATTATATTTTGTTTTGTTTTAAGTTATTTAAACATAATGGAATCGAAGCCTCTAAAGTCCTGGTGAAAATTCACTTTAATTCGTTCCTTAAATAAAGAATAATGCATGCATTCTACTGGCAAAACTGGATAATGCCTAACATCAGATTTTTCATGCTTCATTGGCTTTTGTTTTAATTTGGAAAAGCGCATTATGTCCATTTTGACTGGGTTATAGAAAAAAACATACGGGTGATTTACTTAATTTATTATGATAATAATAAATTAAGTAAATCACCTTTATGTTTGTGAAATAAAAATAAACATAAAGGTGATTTACTTAATTTATCATTATCATGATGTCTTGTCGAGATTTCGTCAAGTAACATCGGAGTTTGTAACCTTGTGATATCACACTTAAATAAGTCGAAATAAACAGACCTATCCGTGTCCAAGCTGTATAATTATTGTTTAATAACGGCTATATAACATTCAATTGACTGACTATGCATTTTTTGGAAATTCGGAAAAAAGGAATCTATGTATGAAGCTACTAATATATACGAGTCTCAATAATATACAAAACGAATAAATTATTATATAGTAGAAATTGTGCACTTTTGAGTTTGTAAAAAAACCGTTACACTCAAAAATCGGTGGAGTAGTTACTGAGATGGTTACACAATGTACAAACAATTGCGTTTTTACTCAGTATTGGTCCGGAAATACGCACTGAACTTGGAAGAGAGCACATGTGAAGAAACAAAATTCATGACAACCATTTGTAATTGTTGTTGTTCTTTTTACTCGCTTTGAAATGTGGAGTTTTTAACTATAAATGATTGGTGAAAATTGGGGGGAAAATTGATATGATGTCCCTCTACTTTGAAAAGTCAGGGGGGGGGGACACGTGTCCCCCTGTCCCCACCGATCGACGCCCGCGGATGAATGGATGGATGGGTGGATGGACGGACGGATGGATGGAACCATTGAATTGCTTAATAATTAAAGATATCAACTGAGCTATTAACTGCCATTTTAACATCCTCAATGTCGGACTAGTAGGTTTACACTATGTTCCTGGTGGCCACGGCAACCCCGTTTGCCCGAACCTTGGTGTGCCCACGGACCTCCTTCAAGTTTTATTACGGCCTATACGTACTGTTACGTTTTCTTTTGTTACGTTCACCCCGTTTTACTACGGCCTACTAGGTTTGTCATTCACCGTGACTACCGTTGCAAATTTTTTGACAGTTTAAAAGTCTGCGCCGGCATTTACGGCAATTACGCCTGTCACGTTTGCACATCCCGTCCCCCACGTTGTCTCACGTTGTCTAACGTCCATCCTGTTTTGTTAACGGTGGTCTGAAACGTGGCTGCCCTGGCCACCGGGAACATAGTGTAAGCCTAGCATTAGAAAATATAGAAAGCAATAATATTATTTATCAAGAACCATCAATTTAATATACAAGAATGTATTATTTGTAAATTATATTTAGCGAAAAAAAGTTTTTTTTTTTTGTTTCATTGACCTTAAACGTGCTTTTGAATTTATACATCATGATTTTCTTTTGTATAAATTATAAAATACTATTAAATCTATGATTTATCGGTGCATGTAAAGGTTAACAATACATTAATATTTCCGATTAAATACTCTATTGGAATTCAACAGGGTTCAGCTTTATATTCTTTATACTTTTCAATATATTTATGAATGATTTAGGCTACGGTATGAACTAATCTCTCAAAGCAAAGGTAATGAAAGAACTTTAGTGTAGTGTTCACGAGAATAGACTTGAATAAACTCATCGGACTGTCGTATTTACTCAAACAAACTTATCTTTATTTCCAATGCAATCAGCTAGGTAGGTAAAAAGACGTTTCAGACCGTCACATGAACACCATGCTGTTACTAGTCTCGTTCATGAACGTCCGCATTACGGCGCCCTCTAGATCAGGTCCTACTAACGCTTTACCTAAAACATTAAATTACAATGGGACACTACATTCCGGCCCTCAGTTGCCTATATAAGGCAACGATAAAACTTTACAGCGTTCCATATGTAAACTCAAAACTTCTAATCTATGTTATTAACATTTTCTTCTTTTAACGTTCTTTAATAAATTTAAAGTTAGCAAGAATTATCTTCATTCTTACGAGTAATATTTATGATCTGTAACTATTCCGCCGAAATTGACAACACATATGTTTTATTCTAAGAAAATAATCCTTTTTATGATTAAAATGATTAGCTATCAATATTGGCCTTAATTAAACAATAATTACTTTTGATTCTTTGTTATAAGCATGTAAAATCTGAAATAACAAAAATTATCTTCTTTAATATGTTTGGTCTGTATTAGGGTGTGTAAAATTTAAGTTTCTTGTTCTAGCCATAGACATAATTTACTGATTGGTCTGATCAAAGTCGCAGACTTAGTTTTAACCTTTACGCTTCTCACATATCCCTTTTCATCTGCATAAAGTTCTTTAATTACTCCAAGAGGCCATGAACTGCGTGGGGCTTGGTCGTCTACAATCAACACTACATCTCCAACTTCGTGATTTCTAGTAGGCTGCAACCATTTTTGTCTTTCTCGCAGGGATGTCAATATTATTTTAGCCACCTTTTCAAGAATATGTTGGCCAAATACTGCATTTGTCTCCATCTTTTTTTGGTATATAAGTCTGTATCAGTAAATTCTCCTGGGGATGATACAGCAGGACTCAGCAGCAAAAGGTCGTTTGGCGAGATAACTGCCAAATCGTTTGGGTCATCGGACACTTTGGTCAAGGGACGGCTGTTAATGAGGGATTCAACCTCTCACATGAGGGTTGTAAGCTGTTCATCAGTTTGCGATGTTCGTAAGTATTGTTCATTGAGTAATGCTGTGAGAACCTTGCGTATCATTCGTATTTGTCTTTCCCATATTCCTCCATGGTGTGATGCTGCTGGCGTATTGAAAACCCACTTGATATTTCTAGAGACAGCATAATTCCCAAGTTGTTCTTGGTTTATCTGGCGCAGTGCTAGCTTCAATTCTCGACTAGCACCCACAAAGTGTGTGCCATTGTCTGAATGCATTTCTTTTACTTTACCACGTCTAGCTATGAATCTCCTCAATGCATCAATGCACGAACTTGTGTCCAGAGAGTGTGCAACTTCTATGTACACCGCTCTGCATTGCAAACATGTAAATATTACACCATATCTCTTTCTGATCGTACGGCAACTCTTAATTTCAAAAGGACCAAAATAGTCGACCTCGGTGTAGGTAAATGCCGAATTCTCTTGCTTTACTCGAAATTTAGGCAAGTCTGCCATTTTCTGTTTACTGGCTTTCGACTGAATTCTTCGACAGCATACACAACGCCTAAGAATACTTTGCACCATCACAGCAGCTTTAACAATCCAGTACTTTTGCCTTAGCTCTGCAAGAACATAGTTTTTTCCCTTGATGACCAACTAATAGATGGCTATATTGTATTATAAGTCTTCATATGTGATGATGTTTTGGCAGGATAAATGGATACCTGGCATTCACTCCAATGGATGCGTTTTGCAGCCTGCCACCAACTCTTAGCATTCCGTCTCGTAGCTCTGGATCAAGGCGTAATAATGTTTTGCTTGGACTCTGTAAGTTCTTGATTTCTTCAGCAAATTCCTGGTTTTGTATGTATCTAATTATAGCCATTTCAGCATTTTCCAACTCATCTACTGTTAGGCGTTCCTTTTTCTCTGGAGGCGTACCTTTAGCTCTCTCGAACAAAAATGTTTTCAACCTTAACCACCAAGCCACAGCTCTCTTGAGACGCTGCCAACTTGAATAGTGATTCATTAAGGTGTCGATAGTATTTGTTGGGTTTGGCAACACTGCTGCATTCACATTGATTTCATTTATATCAGGCAATTGCTGATTTTTCACCATCACCTTTCTCTTCCATCAAGTTTTCACTTGCTTGAGGCCAATTAGTTTCGGGTAACTTTAGGAAATCTGGGCCATGCAACCATTCCTGTTTGGTGGCTATTTGATCTGGAGTAAGCCCACTGGAAGCATGGTCTGCTGGGTTTAATCTGGATGGTACATACCGCCACTGATTATTTTCTGACCCATCTTCAATTACAGCAATTCTGTTTGCCACGAACACTGGATATCTTTCAGATTTGTTTGCTATGTATTTGAGAACTGTTTAACTGTCCGTCCAAAAGGTCAATTCTCTTTTTAGTAAATCATCATGGCGTACGGCAGCTGTGGCAGCATTCAATTCTAATTTCACAATAGTATGTGGTTTCAAAGGGCCACACGAGCTTTAGCAGCAACAAAACCACAGTGAACTCTGCTTTCTTCATTGGTTATGCGCAAGTATGTGACTATGCCATAACCATATAGACTGCAAAATCTGCACAATGGTGGAGCTGGGCATTCTTTGGTTTGAGACATCTGCTTAGTTTTAAACTGTTTATATTTGGAAGGTCCTCTGCCCATTCTTTCCAAGCTTTCTGTTGTTTGGCTAGTATAGGGTCGTCCCAACTTATGTTCTTGACACACAAAGATTGCAGTATCTTTTTGGCCTTTAGAACATATGGAGAACAGATACCTAGTGGATCGTAGATTGCACTCACCGCTGATAAGATATTTCTTCTAGTAGGTTTCTGGTCTACCTCTCCACAGTCAAACTCTAGTTGATCTGTCTCTACACACCATTTTATTCCAAGAGCTTGCTCCATTGGCAACTCATCTCTATGAATATCTACTCCTTTTAGTTCTTTGGTTTTGTGTTCTTCAGGAATGGTCTGTAGGACTTCTCTACTGTTACTTGTCCACTTTGTTCGATTAAACCCACTCTCTCCTAGGATCTGACACATTTCTTTTACCAAAGTGATCGCTTCGTCTTCATGGCTGACGACTGATTTTAACAAATTATCCACATAAAAGTTCTTCCGGATGGCATCAATTACTTGTTCACTGTATGTTCCTTCTGCATCTGAAGCTGCCTTTCTGAGTGCATAGTTAGCGCAGCTCGGCGAAGAAACTGCTCCAAACAGGTGAACAAGCATACGATAATCGATCATGTCTTTTTTAAGGTTACCATCCGGCCACCATAGGTATCTCAGCATGTCACAATCTTTAGGGTGTACACGTACCTGGTAGAACATTGATTCTATGTCAGCTTTTAGTGCGATTTGTTCTTCACGCCATCGCAAGAGGACTCCATACATTAAGTTTGTCATGTCTGGTCCCTGCAATAATTGACTGTTGAGGGACACTCCATTAAACTGCACAGGACAGTTATACACGACCCTCAGTTTCTCTGGTTTACGAGGGTGGAAAACCCCATGGTGGGGAATATACCACACTTGACCATCGTTTCTTGTAAGTTCAGTATCGGGTACCTTTTCTGCATAACCCTTCTTTTCCAAGTTGGACATAAACTCTGTGTATTTTTCATGGAGTTGCTTATTCTTCTTCAGCTTCTCTCTTAAGCGTGAGGCATACAATTCTGCTTGCATCCTGTTGTTAGGGAGCTGTACATTCCTGCTTCTAAGCGGTAAGGCTAGTTGGTAACGCCTATCTATTTTAATTACGGATTCATCCATAATCTGCATGAACTTCTTGTCCTCCACAGATGGGAGACGCTGACCGCTACTTAGTCTCTCGACAAATTCCATGTTGAAATAAGACTTCAACTGCTGTTCCAACAAATCATTTCCATTACTCAAAGTCGAGTTATCTATCCGGCAGAAGTTGACATTCACTTCTGGTTGGTTGGATAATTTACCAGACAGACCATACACAAGCCAACCTAAATGTGTTCTGATAGCATATGGTTCACCAAGCTTGCGTCTAATTACTTCTAGTGGAGTCGAAGCTGCTGGTACGTTAATTCCAATCATCATCGTAACGTGCGGAATTGCATTACCTTTTAGGCTCGGTAATCTTATATGTTTAAGATGGCTCCATTTTCTTATCTCTTCTTGGGTCGGAGCATCCTTCATGGTTACTGGTATGCTGTCTTTAACATACACTGGTGGTAAATCAATAAAAGAATCTCCTTCCATACTTGCAATTTGTAGCTCATCGATCACTACATCAGTTTGGAGAATGTGTTCCAGGTTCAATGTCTTCAGCACTAATTTTGTTGGTTTGGATTTAGTTTTAAGTCGTACGTTTAATTCATTATCAACAAACACAGCACCACATCCGTTGTCCACAAAGGCATACGTAGCTATGCACTCTTCACTGGATTTGGCTTTTACAACTACTGGAACAATAGCCATCAATGGATTCAACTTATCATTATTTACACCAGCACAGCCTGTGGTAATCTTTGTGGGATTAAACTGGTCTTCCTTCTGCGCTTGTTGTTGTCTTGTTGGATCATGCATAATCGTTACATGGTGCTTATTACATTCTTTGCAGACTGTCTTTCCGAATATAGCATGATCTTGTTCGGTGACCTGGATTCAGACAGCTAAAGCATAAACCCTTCTTGGAACAGAATTCGAATTTTTCTTTACTTCCCAATTTTCCAAATACTCTACAATCAAGTATCAAGTGATGACTTCCTTCGCCACAGTGTAGACAAGGTGCTCTTGATGCTCTGTTGTCTCTTTGGTATCAGATATTAGATCTGGATTCATTACTTGCATCATGCACGTACGTGGCAAAGTATGTTTTACTTTTACAGGGAGTTTTGAGTTTTTTTTATCTTGATTCCTTGGTTGATAACCAAGTCCGGCAATCCTAGGATCATTTACATTCCGCGATATTTCACCCACAAACGTTTCCAGGTCTTCAAGCTTTGGAGAACGCATTTCATTTTCACGTATTCTACCAAGTTGTCCAATCCATTTTTACTGCAACGGTACTGGTAATTTAGATGCAAGGATTCGCAGAAAATCATATCCATCCATGGTATACATATCAGGATTTCCCCTTTTGGCATTACAGCAATTGGTTAAGAAGATTTTGAATTTTCTTAATGCTAGTTTGTCTCCTACTTTTATCTTTGGCCACTGATCTGCCTTGTTCCGGTAAGCTGCTGCCAGTATTGGTGGTTGCCCATAGTCTCGTTTCAACAGCTGAACTGCACGTTAATACCCAGCCGATGGTGGCTCGATCATTTGACATTCGTTAATTAGCTCAAATGCTTCACCCTTTGTAGACTTCAACAACAGTTTTAAACGTCGTGCTGGGTCTTCTGTTTTGGTTTCTACTGTGTACTTAATTCTTATGAATGTCATATATTCTAGGACATCAGTCCCGTCAAATTTGGGCACTTCTGGAGTCGGAAGTGCAGCTTCCTTCTGTTGAACGATCAGCTTATTCATGATTTCAGCCATTGTGTTATCAATGTTCTTTGGGTTGCTGTATTGTTCAGTATGATGAATTGGATTTAGGGCCTACTGGTGAAGATTGATCATCAGCTGGGGTAATATTTGTGCCTGTAATTGCCTTATTATCATCATTAGACGGTTATTCGTCACTGTTCAATCCCACAAATGATTGTTTATTTCCTTGTTCCCACATTCCGGTAACAACTGGAGTGATAGGCCTATTTATGTGTTCAACTGGGTTATTATCTGGTGGTGTGGGGTTAATAGCTGTAAATTCTTTTGCCCATGGTTTTGTACCACTTTGGATGATATTTGTGGGTTCATTTGGCTTACTATTATTGGTAGCTAGCAATTGGTTGCTGTTCATAGCCATAGGTAATTGATAATTTTCTTTTACATTTTGGTGACAGTCTGAGCTGCATTTAGTTCAGCTTCAACTTCTACTGTTTTTTGCTCGTTTTCAAGCTTAATCATTTCTTTCTCTAACTCATGTCTTCTACGTATTCTTAATGCCCTTTCTTTGGCACGTATCACTTCTTCCTCAGCATTTTGTAACTCCAACTTGTAACTAACAGCCTGCTTACGTTTCTCCAATTGACGTCTTTGGTTAAGGGCTGCTGATCTGGCTGCTAATTCTATTGCTCTCTGTGATCGCAGCTTCATAACTGATGCTGTCGTGCTTAACGACGCATGACTGAGGCCTACCTGACTAGACGCTCTTTGCCTATCTTTAATTACTTGATTAGCCACCGACACACTATCGTCGGGGTTTACTTCTTCTATTTCTTTTGTAAATAGGACTATATGTTGCCCTTTATTCACATTATTATGGGTTTCTGTTTGTATCTCTTGACGTGGAGTTAATCCGGGCATTGATGGGCTAACTTCACTGACGTCGCTGTTAGTAGTAGCCATCATTATTCTATTCGTTTTTCTTCGAGGCATCTTATTATGTAATAATATTTTCTGCACACGTCGTACTATCCGTCCTGCTCTCGATACACTGGGCTCGTATTTTGAACCCTAGCGTTCTGTGTGTGGTAGGCCTACAAACGTGTAAATACAGTATTTACCTCCTTCGAGAATAGACTTGAATAAACCCATCGGACTGTCGTATTTACTCAAACAAACTTATGTTTATTTCTCAGTCTCAGTTTCAGTAATATTTATTTTGTAATGGTCATAAGAAAACATACATATGAAAAATTATTATATTCTTAAAATAACAAAATTTTAATATATTAGACTTGCAGGCGAAAAAAAATGCGAAATTAGACCATCACAGGGATTAAAACTAGAAGTAGATCTTGTCTCACATTGACCCCTAAGATATAAAAAAAATAAATAAATAAAATTAACAAAAAATAAAATAAAAATAAATAAATAATGGAAAAAAAAAATTAGTGTTAGCGCAAATCAATCAGAAGACCTGTACTTAGATAAATATATTGTTTTCATATGACTTTTGAATGCTTTCGGGGATTTACAATTTATAATAATATCTTTATCTAGGTTATTCCATATGGTGGGACCTGAAAATGTAATAAAAAATTGACTCTTAGTAAATTTAACAAAAGGGACTTATAATATATTTGGATTTCTAATACTGTAAGAATGAGATATTAAACGGTTAGAGAAAGCAATGCGATTGATACAGGTACTAAATTTTTCACGTATTGAAACATAAAATAAGTAATCTGGAGTTTATGAAGGTCACTAATATTTAAGATGTTAAGTTTTTTAAATAGAGTTTCAGATGCAGTTTTAAATGGTGAAGATGTAATTAACCGAACAACCCATTTTTGTAATATAAGAATTCTTTGTAAATTCGAGGGATAGTCTGCGGCCCAAATGATGTTGCAATATAATAAATGGGGCAAAATAAACGAATTGTATAAAGAAACTAAAATACTTAGAGGAAAGAAATGTTTCAGTTTGCTTATTATACCAATGTATTTTGAGATTTTATTTGCTACACTTTGTTGATGGCTAGACTAATTTAAGTTTTCATGAACTAAAACACCAAGAAATGATACTTCACTTTATCTATCAAGCCGTTTGCCATTTAGAAAAACATCACATATTTTGTGTTTAAGTTTATGACGAACACCACGGCTGTGAAATATAATGAAATTTGATTTAGTTGTGTTAATTAATAATTTATTTGTAATGAACCAATCGCTAATCTTGCTTAATTCAGAATTAAATCTGTTAAACAATAAATCAAAGTTATTATTAGAATAAAATATGGTAGTATCATCGGCAAAGGAAACAGTATGTAAAATATCACTAGCCAATGGTAAGCCATTAACGTAAATAAGAAATAATAAGGGTCCTAAGACGGACCCCTATGGTACCCCACACAAAATACTTCTTGATGTCGACTTACAGTTACCAATTTGAACATAATAATTGCTTTCTATTATTAAGATAACTTGTAAGCCAGTCTAATGAGACCCCTCTAATGCCATAACGAAAAAGTTTAGAAATTAGAATATCATGGTTGACAAGATCAAAAGCTTTTACAAATCAAGGAATGTACTTAATAAAAATTCATTATTTTCAAACGCATTATTAACAGAATTCGTGAGTTCTAAAACGGCATGTGTGGTGGTATGATGTATGCGAAACCCGTATTGATGGTTATTAAGTAAATGATTTTCAATAAAATAATTATAAAGACGAGTATGCATTAATTTCTCAGTTATTTTTGAAAATATGGGTAGAATGGAGATTGGTCTGTAGTTATTTAGTAAATGTGAGTCACCTTTTTTAAATGCAGGAATAACTTTATCTATTTTTCAGGCCTGTAGCCAAGGGGATTTTTAGAGGTTCGGGCGACCCCCCTTTTTCAGCGAACCCCTCTTTTGCCAGCGAACCCCCTTAGCCAGAAAACGATCCCCCGTTTTCAAAATAGTGCAATTTATTACAAAATGGGAGCATTTTTGGCACTGTTTATTTGTCGCTATCGGTCGTAGTCCGATCGTAGAAACCAAAACAAAGCTGCAGCCAACTGAATGACGTAACCAGCAAGACTTCAAAATGAATATTAATGAGAGGTTTGTTTGCTGAGGCTATTTGACCAATCGCGTGCTCCGGAGTTCAATTACTTTGGCAGGACGTCATCACAAAAGTTTGGGCGCTCGACATTTTTCATTTCTCTGGGACCGAGGACATCGACACGCCAAAAATAGCCTAGGATGAAGCGCCGAGAAAGGATAACCAATTTTTTTGCTTCAAGGCCAGCAACGAAGAAATCACGAAATTTAAGGTAAGTTAGAAAATTCACCCTTGTTTTCACCACATTTCGGGCTAGGCCTAGGTCTAGCGTTGCTAGGTAGGGTAGGGCCGTAGCCTATGAGGCCTATTACTTGATCAGCTTCAGTACTAATAACATGAGGTTACGCTTAGTAAACGCTAACTGAAGTAATATATACTAGAACAAAAATATTTGAATACAACTACGCACACGATCCATAGAAGTACGTACTTCGGTCGTAACGCGTCATCGTCACTATAACTACGATACGTTATTACGTAATACACACTAACATTAATACTGTACTAAAATACAATTCTTTTTAGAAAGAAGTGAGCTTATTATATATTATATTATTAATATTATATTATTAATATTATATTTTTTTATGAACTTTTTTTTTAGTGACATTTTTGATGATGAGGCACCTGAACCACCAGTTAAAGGTAATGATCCAGATGTACCTGTACCTACTCTGATCAACGACATTGGACTCATCATTAATTCGACTATGACTCAAGACGAAGTTTGGACAAAAATAAATGAGATGACTGAAGCCCAAAAGTTTCACCTTTCAACTTCACATTACAAGCCACCCCCACATTTCAGATTTCTAGCAGTACAGATGAACGGCTATTCAAGATCATTTCAGCCGTAGTGGCTAAAAAAGTATTCTTGGCTAGTGTACAGCCAAGAATTAGATGGAGTTTTTGCTTGCCATGTGCCCTATTTGGTAGTGACCGTTATACGAAAGGATCTCTTGTGAACTCACCATTTACAAAGTGGGTAAAGCTGTGTGACACTTTAGGTGGAAAGAGTGGACATGTCCACAAATTATATCATAATGACTCTGTTGTGGCAATGTCGACTTACATTAATAGCTGCAAGAATCCAAGTGCTACAATACCATGTAGATTTAGTGACAGCCTACAACTGAGGATTCAAGAAAACAGGCATATCCTCAAAAGGATCGTACAAGCTGTGCTGTTCTGTGGTTGGCAGTGTGTTGCGTTTAGGGGTGATGGTGAACACCAAGACTCTGGAAATCCAGGTTTGCTATATTTTTTTAATGTTTCAAGTAATGTGTTAAAAATTGTGTTGGGCAATTAGTGTTATTTTCATTCTTTATTCCCAGTTTAACAAACGAGTTTTTAGTGTAATAATGTTGTTCACTTTTACTACCTACCTTTGCTCCTGGCTGGGTTTGTTTAATTAATATATTACATGAACACAAATGTTGTAATAGTTTAATTTTGTTTCATTTTATATTCAAATACTGTAAATTTGTTGTAAGTAAACCAAACAATGTAACTTACTTTCTATGTTTCCAAATATCATCAGATTACATTTTTTGGTTTACAGTACTTAAACGAATTCATAATATTCCAACAAAAATATTTTATTACACATTTAGTACTTTAATGCTTGCTTTAAATATTAATCAATAAACATTTTTTTATATTCAGGAAACTTTATAGCTTTTCTGAGACAACTTGCACAGGCAGACCCATTGCTAGAACAGCATCTGTCAGCTCCACAGAGGAAGAATTCAACCTACATGTCTACAATGTCCCAGAGTGATATTATCAATATCATTGGATTTAAACAATTAGGGAAGGCATTCTGAAGGAAGTAAGTTGATTTGGAACCACCAGCAAGAGCATTTCTTCTTCACATGTGTAAATATTTTGTCCCCAGTAATTTTTTCTGAAAGTGTAGTGCAATGGGTTTCATTATATACATAGTAATTAGAAAGAACAGTAAATAAAGGCATTTACATCTTGAATTCTCACCCTGTGAAAATCAAAAATTTAAAAAGTAAGAAATGAAGCCTTTTTGTACATTTTCTCTTTTGTAAATGTTCAATAATAAATCAAGTGGTGAAGGCTGATGAAGTGTCTTCCCACAATGTGGAACAACTAGCATTTTGTGTAAAATTTGTAGACAAAGAGTGCAACATCAGAGAAGAGTTCTTGAATTTTCATCGGATGGAAAACACTAGTGGGGCTGCCATTGCTGAAGCAATACGCAATATGTTGAGGGATATTGATATACCACTTAAAGAAATGAGAGGTCAGGGCTATGATGGGGCTGCTGCCATGTCCAGCTGTAGAGCAAATGCCTGTTCACTGCTAGCTATAAGGTATATGGTAGATATGTTGAAGGAAGCTTGCCTCTTCTTCAACTGGAGCTCTAAAAGAGAAGGTCTACTGAAAGAGGTATTGTTGAATATTTTCCTTTCAATTAACTTTTAATTTAAACACACATGTACATATAAATTACATACGAAATTTACTTGTGTGTATCTATACAGATTTCAATACAATAATATTGTGCCCTTCAATCATGGTATCAAATATTGTGATTAAACAAACCTACTCCACATAAAACTATGTAAAACATTAAATGCATGTGTTTCTCTCACATTTCTTAGCACAACTTACCTTTTGTGCTTAATGTAAATTGACAGCTGAGATTTTGACAGTCAAAGGACCGAACAAAAAATTAATTGTGTTACTCTTTTCTTTTCAGGTTATTAATAAAGACGAGGGCAACGGGAAAAAGCCGTTACTTAACTTGTGTAAACCTAGATGGGCCGAGAGGCATGATGCCTATCACCATTTTAATGGTGTGTTCCCCCACCTTGTGACGACGCTGGAGATCATCGCGCATGGTTTGCATGTAGACAACTACGATGAACAACATACTGGGCCATGGAGTGCAGACACCAACAGAAGAGCAAGTTCACTCCTGAGAGGTTTGATTGACTTCAATTTTATGGTGGCCTTCAAGCTTGTTTACCATAGCTTGTCACACCTCCATGGTGTTACAGTCAAGCTTCAGAAGAGCTCATTAGATATCATTGAGGCTCATGAAATGGTTAGTCTACTTATAATACTTTGATTATACAAGTTTGACAAATGGTCTTAAACATTTTATTTGTTAATGTGGAGGTGCACACAAACAATATATTTTTTTTATTCTGTGGATAATGATGTATACAGGGTGTATATGGATATACATTATCCTTGCTTGTGTGTAATTAATGTATTTAATGTGATTTCACAGAGTGTGCTTTAGAGCAATCTATACACCTGGAAACAGTTTCCAACAGTTGAACTTTTTTAATGTGATAATTGTTTGATATCAATGAGCCATGCTGAAAACACCAGTTTACAAAGCAAGTTACATAGTATACATTTTGTTTTTTGTGAAATGCAGGTAAATGATGTACAAGACATATATATGATGATGAGTGAGAACTGCAATGATGTATTCAAACAATACTACGAATCAGCATGTGATATGGCAAGAATTGTGGATGTCCAGCCATGTTTGCCAAGATTTGCAGCAAGGCAAGTTCATAGGGCCAATGCTCCAGCTTCAAATTTTTAATTCCAAATGTTATGTTTTGAACATTTGATCCACATCAAATTAATCTAAATTTTTCAAATCATCATTATAACTGATGACAGTATAAAAAGTCAAAATGGATTCAAGATTAATGTTTCTTAAAATAAATTAAATTTACCTCTCAATAAACACCCATACAAAAATTACTCATTTTAATGTTTATTTCTTATTTGTTAAATTTTGCAGGACTGGAGGTAACAAGCTCCAAATTTCTAGGGTTGATTCCATCGTTAAGTTTGGAAAAAGAAATCGACATTTCTGAGGCAGTGGAACTCTACAAGCAAGACTTGCCATCTCCAGAACTTGCCAGTGGAGAGATAATAATGTGGCGGAGGCACTTCAAAGATAAGGAAATTGCAGATGTTCCAAGCTCATGTGCAGAAGCTATTAAAGCTTGCAATGAAGATGTTTCCAAATGTCTTTATGCTATTGAAGTTGGCTTGCACACTACCTGTAACGTCATGCGAGTGCGAGAGAAGTGCCAGTGTACTTCGGAGGCTCCACACATACACCCAGTGCACAATGAAACAAGAACGCCTTGCGTCACTTGCCCTGATGCACATCCATTATGACGCAAAAGTAGATATTGCAGAGACAGTTAACCTGTTTGCTGAAATGTACCCCCGAAGGATGCAACTAAAGAACCTTGTGTACAATTACAACCAGTAGCTATAACTGCATGGACTAGTAGTAACAGTTGCTCCTGCTAGATTTCATTGTACTTATATTGCTTTGTTTCTTCCAATATTTCCCATGAAGATATTTAAGTGAGACATGATAGAGACCCAATATTTTATATTTATATTCATAGATTTTCTTTCTCAATATTTTTCATATAAACAAAAACAGCTCTAAAATTATTGGGGTTTTTTTTGCACACTGCTTAGTTTTTTGCATAAACTGGTGCTTTAACAATTTTTTACTGCAATTTTTTTTGCGTAAACTGGTGCTTTGTAGCATAATAGTATATTTATTATATTTTCTCAATATTTCTCATTTAAACCAAGACAGCTCTTAAATCATTGTTTATTTTCACTCTGCAAAGTTTTTTTGCATAAACTTGTGCTTTAACATGTACATATTGATATTGTAACATAGTATATTTATTATTTTTTCTCTATTTCCCATTTAAACCAAGACAGCTCTTAAATTATTGTTTATTTTCACATGTGAGTCAAGTACGAAAATAAATGACAAAGGTTGACGTGAGACAGAACATTAAATATATATTATTTAATAGTAAAACGTATATTTCGTCCTGTCCTCAGGACTTCTTCAGCGTTAATGAAATGTACAGATCTATTGGCATCATATAAACAAAGCAATCATAAAGGATTTATATATATATATATATATATATATATATATATATATATTCCATATTCCCTTTCCCACTTTTTTGCTACCTGTCGCGGTTTGTCGGTCTGTATTCTGTTTGTTTTGTTTTTTTCTTGTTTATTGTCTCATTTTGTCATGTGCTGTCTCTTTTCGGGTCTTGCCTTCTTTCCTTCAGATCACTTGTTTATTCAATATACATAATCCTTGCATTTAGCTTATATTCGAAAAAAAAAAATTATGCTGCATTGTATTCTTCAAAAAGGAAGTATATAAATGTTGAGTGGAATTGAATAGAAAATTTCATTAAATTTGGTGTTGTTGGGGACCTGAAGAAGTAACGTTCCATGTCTTTGCCTCTATAGGCTTACAGAAACAATGTTAATATGAATCAATCTGCAATCACTGGAGCTCATCAAAAAAAGAATAAAAAAATTGTCCCACAGTTAAGTCAACAGTTAAAAGAGTTGGCAAATGAAATGCAACACTTACTATAGCATTTGAGCACTTTTGAGAGCCATATAATGGATTTTTGAAACAAATATTGTGAATATTCTAATTTAATTTTTATTCACTGTGTATTATTAGAGACCTAAATTAGAAAAAAAATGGTCGTTTACATCAACTGTAGGCCTACCAGACAAAACAAAAAAATGAGATGCATATAGAATTTAACAATAACTAAGAAAGATGATGAAAATAGATCTTAAAAAGTGGAGCTTTTGAAATTTGGGGGTTCAGCGTTGGGGGTTTGTGAGTGGAAGATTCGACAATAACATTTGAGACACAGTATATAATGGATTTCTGAAACCCATAATTCATGAATATTTTATTTAAATTTTCATTCATTGGGTGTTCCTGGGACCTGAAGAAGTAATGTACGATGTCCTTTACATCTGCAGGCCTCTGCAAACACCGAAGCTGATCAATTTCCTAAAAATGTTGTAACCATAGTTAATAAAATGAGTGCTGGTCAAAAGCATGTTTATACCTGTATAACTTACGAAGACATCAAAGCGATGTTTATATTATTAAAAAAATTATTATGAGAACGGGGATGATGATGATGAACACTAAACCAATCCGAGAACTGGATGACGGAGGCGGAATGTCTTCTGTAAAAAAAAAATATGGCGTTTATTGGAAAATATAAATTATAAAAAGACTGCGGTGTTTATTAAGAAATACAGTACAAATGTAAGATTGCGATGTAATGTAAATAAAACGACTGTAGTGTTTATAAAAAATATAATTAAAAAGGTTAAAATGTTTATTAAGAAATAGAAATAAGAATATTATGATGTTTATTATAAGAAATATTAGAGATTATGATACTTAATATGATATATGAATACACCAATATACTCTAATTTTTAAAGATTTTTTTTTGTATTAAGGTTTTTATTATTATTATTATTATTATTATTATTATTATTATTATTATTATTAATATTATTATTATTATTTATTTATTTATTTTAGCTGTCATTCTGTGGAATTTTATTATTTAGAATAGAATTTAACTGTTGATATTTTTACTGTTTTTTGTGTATTGACAATATAATTACTCTGAACTTTTGAACTTCGAACAATAAATAACTAGACCTGTATACACAGTCAGTATACAATGCTAAGGTACTATCAATGCACCATACATACTTTGTTTCGTTGGGGAAATCTGACCCCTCGACAGGGGCATCGGCCCCACTTTGGGCAAAACCTGGCGCCACCCCTAAATCAATATAAAGTACGGCATGCGTTTCTTATATAAATTTAACAAAATATCAAATAACAATATTTATTTATTTATTTATTTATTGTTAGTATGCTAATGACTTATATGAACTGGCAAAATATGTTTTCAATACGAAAAACGTATGTACTAATATAAATAATCACTATAATCTTTAAACTTTTTTAATGAACGTGAAAAGGTAAAATAATTTAAAAGAGTAGAAACATATAAATATGTTGGTTTGCTTTAAACAATTGATAACGTAAGTAAGAAAATTGTTTCGAGAATGTATATGCTTTGACAACTTGTATGTTAAGGTGTATAATAATATTACAATTGGAGTTTGTTATGGTTACGTTTGTAAAAGTTGCAAAGATTAATCGTTTGGTAAGAATGGCTGAGAGTATGAGTCAGCTTTGCGCTATTTGGTCTCCAGATATATTGAGTACCTGAACAGGTTTTTTAGAATTATTTTGAATGATTAAAGTCATGAGTCATTAATTTTATTCTGAATGTGTAAGTTTCAGGAGCGCAAATTCAGAGGAGACAAAACATTACAAAAAGAGAGGACAAACATAAATAAATATTGTGTATTGTTATTATTTATTATTATTATTATTATTATTATTATTATTATTATTAATGTCGTCTAGTTTAAGTCGTCGTCACGGCCACTGTTGCCGTCACCACCGTTGTCATCGTCAGTATCATTTTTATTATTATTATTATTATTATTATTATTATTATTATTATCATTATTTATTGTTGTTATTTATTATTGTTCTTATTATTACTAGGCCTTTTGTTGCATGTTATTGTTGTTGTGGAGCAGATAGATATACTAATCTAATAATATTATCTTGTTCTATTTTAAACACAATTTATTATAACATTAAGGAAAATTGTTTTGTAGTCTCTATACAGTACCTGTTTATTAGCCCTACCTGGCTTAAAACTGAATTCAATTGAATTGCTATATTTTCCGTTTTTACCGACAAAGAATTCATTTTCAGCTCTACAACTGTAGTTTCCTTCATCATGTTGATCAAATTTCTTTATTTCTAATATTTCATATTTGAAAATGTATTTGCCAGAAGCAATGTCTATGACGTCACCCTCATGCAACCACGTGAGCAAAATCACTTCCGGATATGACGCCACTACTTCACATGACATAGATACTCGCGTACCTTCAGGTACATGTGTGTCAGTTAGTGCCTGGAGTTTAGGGTTATCCAAATCTGTTGGTAAAAATCATAACCATAATCATTATGATGATCATAATCATCATGACATTGATGATGATAGGCCTGATGATGATGATGATGATGATGATGATGGCGACGATGATGACTATGATGATGATGATAGTCTACTTTGGAGGATGATGATGTTGATGTTTGTTTTTTGTGAAGTTAAATGAAAAATAATCACAATCGACCAAATAATTCTGTAATAATAAATTCGTATTATTAAAGCTGATGCTAGTATTCACTTACAGTTTACTGTTAATTTGCTGTCATCGGAATGCGGTACGGTTGATCCTGTAGACTGGTCATTCACTCCACATGTATATGTACCCTTGTCCCATCGCAACACCTCTTTAATAACCAAGCTAACGTTCCCAGACTTTGCGTCACCCAGTAAATACCGCGAGTTTGAATTTGGTTGGTCGTCTGATCTTATAATGACAGTTGCATTCGTCTTCCAATACCACTTGCCAATAATGGCGTTAGATGGCGAGAAGAAGCAGGGCAAGACAGCGCTGTCGCCTTCATTTATACGTAGGTTGTCAGCAACTAGGTCATCAATTCTCCGACCCGCTATAAATCATGCAACAACATTCATACTGTTTTTAAATATCACTTCACAGCGATTTACATTAGGCTATATTAATTATAATAATTGTTATCACTATCATTATAATCTTCATAATCATCATCATTACCATTACTAATATTATTTTTTCTTTGCGTTATTTAACGTGCACATACCGTAAATCACCGAATAAGCACTTCGGCGCTCATCATGCTTCAGTACGACGCTTAATCCGAGAGCGGCGCTTAGCGTGGCGCGCTTTTCATGCCCGTTCCGATGTTACCTCTCATGTATTTCCTTAGATGTACTTGCAGCCAAGGCCGAAGTATCACCGTAAATAAACGTAGGCCTATATAAAGATATTCTTGTGTCTTCATTGTGTTATTTATTAATTTGAACACCATTACTGTACATTGTATTTAAAACCATGTTCTCGAATTGTTTCAATACGCACAGGGTACTCTCGATTAAGAGCCGCGGCGCCTATTTAAATTACATTACTGTACTGTAATCTCGAATAAGCGCCGCGGCGCGCGCACCTTCGAGAATGACGTTTAGCAACATAAAAAAAAAATCACTTTTGGTGCGGCGCTTATTTGAGAAGTCGCTTATTCGAGAGCGTCATTTACCGTATTCGAGGATTTACGGTATTAAACTTGTAGTTCAGCCCTCCAGCTGAAATTTTTAAAAAAAGCAGCGGGAAATTTATAAACATGTGACAAGTTCTGAGATCTCCACGGATCAGCACAAGGACACGTTGCACGCCACTATTGTGAAACGAAGTGCCCTAAAAAAGACATACCGTATTTAGGCCTATTCAAATAAACGCCCTGCTTTAAGTCCCCCAGAGCCTCATTTGGAATAAACCTCCTCCGAGATATCTATGCTGGAGAAAGTGTGGTAGTCTGCTGAGTAGTTTGGGTAGCTGGAACTGGATCAAAGTCAGCCACTTGTAACAGAGTTAAAATACGTCGAAGCACGACCCGTGGCGTTAGGACTGGTAGAAGCGGTGTATCCATTTTATGTAACCGTGACAGGAATTATGCAGAATGAGCAGGTTCGTTGGACAAATTTTGACAGTGGGTTTCGGCACCAAAAACTATGTGACCGACTGAAAAATCACACAATGTATATACTGTAATGTTATGGGAGAGCTATTTTTAATCAAATGAAACCCACTCAACACAACTGTCAAATTTTATAAGCAAATTTATTTCAACTATAAATCCCTTACAAGTTCAAACACTCTGACAAATTCCGAAAGGTCCACTGATTAATCTCAGATAAGAAAGTATAATACATACTCCAAGTATTGAAATACACGCCATCGTGTTGGGATTCAAATTCCCTTTTGGTCAATCACATAAGAATTATTCAAAATTTTAAATGTTTATCAAATTACAAAAAGTGGGGTAGTCAACAACCCACTACTACAACAATACTCTGCAGTAAATCCAATCCGTCTTCAAACAAGAAATACAACCATGTTACTACAGTATTATGAAAATATAAACCATAATTATACTATGTATCAACATAGGTTCACAAATCCACGAATCATTAAACAATTAATAACAACTACTGTAGTATAAAACTACTATAAAACTAAAAGCCAAAAAATAATCCAGAGGTGACGGAACTAAGGGGTGCTCCTGTGTTAAGGAGAGTAATGTGTGACCGGAAATGATCTGCATCAGTTGGTTGTTACCATGCGCCAGTGATGTTGGAGTATATAGTACAGCAAGATGAAACTATTATGTAGGCCAAATGAATAAAGTTCGGAGTTTGTCTGGTAGTGAAATGATTATTGTACATTTTAAGCGCTGGCTAAATTCATAAGTGTAAGCTAAATTACAGTGATTAATTTAATTAGCGAAGATGGAGACAATTATTTCGAAGTTCCATCTTTCCAAGAGGGGATGCGAATGCTTTGTGAAAATGAGTACGCCGCGGTACTCATTTTCACAAAGAAATACACACAACTGGTTAGCTAACAATATGCCAATACATGAACACCTGGGAAGGAAGGTTCAATCACGTTGTTGCC